GTTCACCATGCAGCTTCCAGGACCCAGACCAATGTCATGCTGCTTATTTTTGCACTGCTACAGCTGGGCCTAATTTCACTTAAAACAGGGGTCCCCAACCCCCTCAGCCGTGGATCAGAAGCAGTCTGTGGCCTGTTAGAAACCATGCTGCACAACAGGACATGAGCGTCAGGCAAGTGAGCAAGCTTTGTCTGTATTTACAGCCACTCCCCATCTCACGTTACCGCCTGAGCTCCACTTTTTGTCAGATCAGCAGCTGCCTTAGATTCTCATAGGAGTGACAACCCTGTCATGAACTACACATGCAAAGGGTCTAGGTTTTACACTCCTTATGAAAATCTAATGCAGTTGATGTTCCCAGGTGGAGCTGAGGCAGTGATGCTAGCACTGGGAAGCAGCTGCAAATGCTGCTTCATGGTGAGTTGTATAATTATTTCATTATTTATATTACAATGCAAGAGTAATAGAGATAAAGTGCACAATGACTACAATGTGTTTGAGTCATCCAGAAACAACACCCCCATCTCCAGGAAAATTGTCTTCCACAAAACCAGTCCCTGGTGCCAGAAAGGTTGGGGACTACTGCCTTGGAAGCACTGGTATTACTCATGTGTGGGCACAGAGCAGCTCTAAAATGTAGATAAATGGTTATTTTTTCAGCAGCCTTTTGAGGTATAAATTTATTTTTGTTTTATAATCTAAGAAGTTAAGTGTACCTTGCCAAGTTTCCTTTGATGAGTGACCAGGACTTGGTGAAACTGTATCAGCTCACACCAAAGTATCAGCTACTCTTTACAGGTGTAATTGTTTAATATTTGTCGAAGTCAGAGGCCTTGCACATCAGTGTCTCTTTAGCAGGCAAATTCTTTTTTTAGGTCAGAACATATTTATTACTGAAGGTATTTATTACTGCCTAGTATGAGTTTGCTCATGCAGCAGGCATACTCAATCTGTTGGTTCGGTCAAGGGCCAGTCTCAGTTACTGCCTGTTAGCACGTAAGTAGGTGATTGCATTGGCAAAACAATGACGTTGCTCTTTTGTACCACATACCCTAACTGGATTTTCACTCACTGGAATTACTTGCAGCCTCTCTAAGGGATAGTAACTGTCAGCTACATAGGATTTTATTTGATAGGGAATATGTAATAGTTCTTCTGACTTTTTTTTTTTTTTGGAGAGGTATTTGCTATAGGGCGCGTGCGCTCACCAGAAAGACAGAGACAGAGAAACAGAAAGCAAGAAATCACCCCCCAGGGGGGATGGTCACGCCACAATCCCTTCTCCTCCATTCTCCTCTCGGGATCTTGGGCACGCACCCACATGCGCCCAGTGTGAGTTTAAGCCACCGGGTCCGGGACTCGAACCTCGGTCAGCTACATGGGAGTCCAGAGACATAGCCATTACACTAACTGCTGGTCCCAAGTAAATAACTACTTCTTCCCACTTTTAAAAGCATCTTGGATTTCTGAGTTCTTCATAAAGGTGGTCTCGTTTTCATCTCAGCAACCTTTTGAGATAGCTGCTTAGAGAGGCGCTTCGCTTTGGGAGTGAGGTGAGGAGAAACAGCTGTCCACAGTTGTGTCGCCTGCCGCGATAGGATTTAAACCTGGACCTGCCGCTTCCACGCTGTTAGTTCATACTGAGGAACGTGAGTCTCCTCTCTCAGCCACGCTGTTGGATGGACGCGGGAATGTGGGAGTGCATGCAGTCTACACCCAGCGCAGCACTTGCCAGTCATGTTCCAGGCACTCGTGTTCAGAGCGTACAGATGTTTTTATAGGCTTAGAAAAGAAAGTTGAAGTAGAGTGGTCTTCATTTCCACACCAGAGATAGCAGCACGCATCACTGTGCCTTAGTCGCGTGCGTGCAGGCGTCTGTACTAGGGCTGCTTTGGCAGCCGCCTGCTGGGTGTCTTTCTCCCTGGATCCCCCGGGGCCTAGGGAGCTCCCTCTCCCTCATTGCAGGTTTTCAAGTTTCTTTGGCCCTAGATCGAGCGCCTCAGAAACCTTAACCCATGTCTTGTTCAGAGCAGGGTTAGCAGATTCCTGTTGAACAAGCAGCCCCAGAGCAAGGGCCCCGCTGTTGCGCTTTCTACACATGTAGCAAACACTCTCACAGCTGCCACCTCTTAATCCGCCTGGCAAGCCGAGGTGGGTGCTCTTCTGATCGAAGGGCAGAGCACAATGACTCACCCGAGCCTGCCCCGCTGTAGAACGGAGTGGGCCTGGGTGCCCCAACTTGTGCTGTGCCTCTCACAAGCCCAGCTGGGCCTTCACAGGGGCCCAGTCTCCAGCGGTGCAGGCCAAGCAAACGCTGCTTTTGAGGCCGCTGTGAGGTTCATAAATGTTGGCGGAGGTTCGTGGTGTGTTTGCTCAGCCATGATCACCGAACTGGGGCAAGACGGAAACAGGAGTCGTATTTAGAGGAGGGGGTGGGACCTTTGCCTAAAAGCCTTTCTGTGCAGTGCTCATGGGACCATTTCTTTGAGAACATCTCTTCCTTTGGGGGACTGGAGTCCCTGACCTGGCGGTGCTGCTGTGCTTCCCCAGGGCAGTCATGGTCTGTGTTGGGCCTGCCTCGTTCCGACTCAGAAGGGAACTGTGGAGTGGGTTGTGTGAGAAACAGCATGCTCCAGCCAACAGGAATGTCTTTCTAAACAGTCGAGCAAATTCCCAGATTAGAGAGAGGCTGGGGCGCCTATGGCCACCTTCT